TTCCTAACCCGCGGACAAGAACAACAACCTCACGTGACACCAACTCAGCAGCAGGAAGAAGCTCGTGAATCAGATACGGCAGTAACCTACGACCTGCGTGCGGACACGGGGCAGACCGACACTCGTGAATATGTAGCGAGTGCCGGGCTGTTTCCCAGTTCGTCTTCGGAGGGTTCCAGCATGTCATCTACCGACGATCATCCAGCAAGGGGAAATAGCGTGACTGGTAGCAACAATCCACGCTTATCACCAGTGAAGCGCAAATACCAACGACGTCGTCACTATAGACGAGGAGAAGGGCGAGACCAGGGTTCACCACAACAGCTGGCCAAACTCATGGCCAAACAGCAATCACTGTCCGACAAGTATGAAGAACACTTGAAGTGTATTTCACCCGAACAGCCCAATGGGTCTAAAGGGAAGACCGTCATATAAGCGTCGTCGTTTGTCCAACAGTGTTAACAACCCAGAATTTCGTATTAGAGGTCTCGGACAACATCATGTTCTGGGATACGAGTCACCAGTGTCGGATGACCCAGCAACACTGACTGATACACCATCTATCCAGGAATTCGCACGCGAAGAACTACTTGTTAAGAAGAACCCGCTCATGAAGAACACTTGAAGTGTATTTCACCCGAACAGCCCAATGGGTCTAAAGGGAAGACCGTCATATAAGCGTCGTCGTTTGTCCACAGTGTTAACAACCCAGAATTTCGTATTAGAGGTCTCGGACAACATCATGTTCTGGGATACGAGTCACCAGTGTCGGATGACCCAGCAACACTGACTGATACACCATCTATCCAGGAATTCGCACGCGAAGAACTACTTGTTAAGAAGAACCCGCTCGGGGTAGAAGCTTTGAAGAACGTCCATGACCGGTTGAGTACCAACTTTCGTATGCAACAGCAGAAGAAGGTCTTGGAGCAGGACGCCTCACGTGAAACGGTGTATACGCCAGAGAATGAGTCATCACAGCTACCAACACCTTCACCGACACCGACAAGCATTGAAGCCAGCCGTCACGTGTTTCACGTACGCATACATAAGTTATCGGATGAACTGTGCCAGGCGATAGAAGACAACAATACAGCTCGTGTCCACGCCCTTCGGGGGGTGTTGGAGACACTGCGTGCGACATTAGAATATAACAAATGCAAGGTCCCAGCACCACGCAGTTGGCTTGACTGGCCTTCTAATCGCTACCATTTAAATGATGTCATGGAACGGGACACTAAGCGAGCCCTCCTCGAAGCGTTGAAGAACGCACATATCGCAGGTCTTGATATGATATGGAGTCTAGCATGGTACTATAAGGTGTTGGTTCACATTACTACCGATAAATCCTCACTCGACTACATTAGGGATAACACGGATCAGTTGAAGGCGTAGACACCTGCGATAGAGATTATAGAGATGTACTCACATGAAACACAAGCGACCGTAGATCCAGCCTTCTGCAATCTAGCTAAAGGTCACAATAAGCTAGCGCATGTACCTGTCATAGAACAGATGACCCGGTTGATGGAAAATCACAGTCGAGCGCGTGAACCGTATCAGACGGACGCTGACTTCCAGCAAAGTATACTGAATCACTGTGTGGTACAGTTGTTAGAGGAAATGCTCGACGCTCGTACATACGAGCGCACACTTAAACAACACCCCAAATCGCATTTGATGGCGACGCATGAATTGCTACAGCTGATGAGTCTGGACATACAGGAGGCACAACAACGGTCAACAGCACGTTCCCTCGGTCGCCAACAACATCACATAGGGAATACAACACGGGGCTATACCAACAGTTGTCCGAACCCACAGACAGCGCAACGACAGAATTAGAACTGGGCGCAGCGTCCTCAGGCCGCGGTACCTACAATGTGTGTAGGTTGTCAGACACAAGCACCCACCCCCCCCCCCCTCGGTCCAAGTCACATTGCTCGATTCCACCATCATAGAACAACGCAACAAGGGAACACTGACCACCGCGCACGCCAGAACGAACGAGGTTGTCCTTTCCGCCCGACGACAACAGTCCCGCCAGTGTAGAAATACGGCCTCTGGTCAGTCTAAAATATCAAGATCAATTGAGATAATACATTGGTTTTTATTTGTATTTTAAATAATTTAATACAAGCTCTTTTTCCAATATTTCCAAAGTGTTCTAAATTCACTTTGATGGCTCCAATAGCCTGAGTATTTGGTATGACTCATCTACTTGGACCTATTTGAGACATTAGTAGATGTAGGATATTATAAACTAAATTTTATAATA